CTAATGACCCCCATTGTTATTGTTAGTCCATTTGGTGATATCCACATCCAGTCTCTTTGAAGTAGGCTGAAGGAAGTGAGAGCCATAAAGCCCCTTTGTTCACCCCCTTCCCTTCATCTTATGACAGAATCCAGAGCAGGCAGAAATGCGGGGTTTCATAATTGATAACTACAGATGGAATATATTTGGATTCTGACAGGAGGACAAGGTGGAGAGAGGGAGGGAGGGGAGAAGGGAAGGAGGATGGGGAGGGTGAGTGGGATGAAGAGTGGGAAGGTTTATAGGGAGGGGAAGATGACCATGAGGGATTTGGGGAGAGGGAAGGGAAGGGGAGAGAGGGACAGACTGAGAGGTGGACAGGGTGGGGAAGAAAAAAAGGGAAGGAGGGGAAGAGGAGGTGAGGTGAGGGGTTGGATGGGAACAAGGGAGAGGGGAGTGGAAATATAAAATTAAGAGAAAGAGTGAAGGTGATGGGAGGGGTTAAAAGAGCAAGGGAGGGGGAGATAGACCATTAGAAAGTTGGAAAGAGGAAGGGGATGATGGGAAAGAGCGAGGTGGAAGGGGAAGGGAAAACGAGGGGAAGAGACAGAGGGACAGCAATGGGAAGGAGAGGGAGGGTGTGGGAGAAAGGAACGGGGAAGGGAAGGGAAGGGGAGAGGAACGGGGAGGGGCAAGTTAGAACATTAAACCATCATAATAAAAGAAATAGTAAAATGGTTCTGTTCCCAAGTCTGCATATCCTTGAAGGATTGGGCTGATAATACAGTATATGTCCACATGGTGAATGACAATAAAGAGTAAATATCCACATCTGTCCCTTATTGGATCCTAATTAACTCTACCATAAATAGGCTCTTAGCAGTAGAGAAACCATTGTGCTTGTCATCCAGGGCTGCCCTGAGTTTGCTGGCTACGTTTGGCTGCATATTAGCCACGATTAATCCATTTCTGTTTCTCTCCCATGTGGGTTATTAGGTGGTTTTTGAGCTGCTTGTAAGCTCACGTGGTTTTTCGTCATGTGTGGATTCTTTGATGCTTAGAAAGACTTCCCCTCCCACTGAAGCTCTTTCCACACATATACAAAACATGTATATGTTTTTTCTCCAATGTGAATTCTATTTTTTTAAACAAAATTTTATTACGTTTATATAAATAAGGAAAAATAGGAACAATACAGGTATGGTAAAGGGAGGGGGTGGGAGGAAAGGGGAAGGGGATAAAGGATTTAGGGTAAAATAAGGAGAGGTACAATCACATATTTCAACAAACAAGCTACCGTCCGGATCATAATAATGAGTAAATATCATATTCAACCATTTTTGCCGAAGCTTAGACTATAACATATTAAAAACAGTTAATAAACAAATACGTTGATCTATTAAGTAAACACTATTAATAAAATCTCAAAAACTCCTACCAATCAAAAGTAACAAATGAAAATCAGTAAATCAAGAAAAATAATTATATCATCAAAGTATTAGTTAGAACTCAGTTAAAAACCAGTCATCTATTCTAAAATATTGAATCCTTCAAGTTCTAATGTGTCTCTAACCATTGATAAAAATTTTCCCAAGTTCTAAAATAAATTGAATCATCTTTTTCTTTCATTTCTAATGTTAGTCTATCCATTTCTGCACACTCTAAAATTTTAGTAATTATAGTCTGGTCAGATGGTAAATTCTCATTTTCCCAAAATTGGGCAAATACTATCCTTGCAGCTGTTAAAACATGCAATATCAAATAGTCATTCTCTTTACCATAATTAGGTCTTAATATTCCTAACAAAAACAATTCCGGTTTAAATTCTATCTGTAGTTTCATCATCTTTTCCAACCATCTATGGATCTTAGACCAATATTTCTTAGCGATAGAGCATGTCCACCAGGCATGGTAATAAGTGCCTGGCTGTTGTTTACATTTCCAGCAAATATCCGAAACATTTTTAAACATTTTCGCTAAGCGCACTGGTGTCATATGCCATCTATAAAACATCTTATGTAAGTTTTCTTTATATGCTACCGCTTTTGTAAGCTTAATATTTTTATCCCAAAGTTTTTGCCAGTCTTTGCCAGGTATTTATATGGTATTTCCTCATGTGTGGATTCTTTGATGCTTAGAAAGACTTCCCTTCCCACTGAAGCTCTTTCCACACTCCAGGCATTTATATGGTTTTTCTCCAGTGTGGATTCTTTGATGTCTATAAAGGTGTCCCCTCTGACTAAAGCTGTTTCCACACTCCAGGCACTTATAGGGTTTCTCTCCAGTGTGAATTCTTTGATGTACATAAAGGTTTCCCCTCACATTGAAGCGTTTCCCACATTCAAGGCATTTATATGGCTTTTCTCCAGTGTGGATCCTTTGATGTGTATAAAGGTTTACCATCCCACTGAAGCTCTTTCCACATTCCATGCATTTATAGGTTTTCTCTTCTAAGCAGATTCTTTGATGTGTATAAAAGCTTCCCCTCTGACTGAAGCTCTTTCCACACTCCAGGCATTTAGGCTGTTTCTCTCCTGTGTGGATCCTTTGATGTTTATAAAAAGTTTCCCTCCGACTGAAGGCCTTTCCACACTCCAGACATTTGTATGGTTTCTCTCCAATATGAATCCTTTGATGCCTATAAAGGTGTCCTGTCAGACTGAAGCTCTTTCCACACTCCAGGCATTTGTATGATTTTTCTCCAGTGTGGATCCTTTGATGACTATATAGAGTTCCTCTCAGTCTGAAGCTCTTTCCACACTCCAGGCACTTATGTGGTTTTTCTCCAGTGTGGATCCTTTGATGTCGATGGAGGTTTCCACTCAGAGTAAAGCTCTTTCCACATTCTAGGCATTTGTATGGTTTTTCTCCTGAATGGATCTTTTCATGTGTATAAAGGTTTGCCCTCAGACTGAAGCTCTTTCCACATTCCATGCATTTATAGTGTTTCTCTCCTGAGTGGATCCTTTNCCCCCCCCCCCCCCCGTTCTGCCCAGCCAGGGATGCAAGTGGGTCACCTGCACTCTTAATATCGTGGTTTGGCTACTTTTTAACTTCTGCAAAACAAGGAAGTTTTTTTCTTCTCAAGGCCATTTTTTTGAATGGGAGAACCTGTCTTTTCATCCCTAAACACTTGAATCACTTGCCAGTTCTAAGCAAACTTCCCATCTGGGAAAGCCTAAGCCTAAATTGGCCCCTTGTGGAATGTTATCTAGACTTCCATGTTTTCTGCTGTTCAAGTCTCACATATAATCAAGGTCTTTTATTGTTTGATCTTTCGCTTACTGAAGTGTCACATATACTAAATATATCATTTCTTCTGTATCCTATAGAAATACGTGATCCCCCTTAATAAATGCTCTTTTCTTTCTCTGAGTTATTTTGAGATTTGTACTTTCCAGTGGGGAAATGAGCCCTTTTGCAAAGGTCAAAATTTCTCTCAAGTTCAGGGATCAAATTCTTATTAGCTCCAAACCAAATTTGCAATGTTCGAGTTTGGAGGCTACAAATACACACCATCACCACCTAGTTGTCCAGAAAGAAGTGGAGATGATTCTTATATCAACCTATTTTTTATTGGCAAGCCTTCCCCCAGTTTGTATCTTTCCTCCATTTGTTCATATCTTCCCAGGGAACATGACGCCGAGTTCGAGAACCTCTGCCTAAGAGAGCTTTGCATGCTTAATTTCAGTTTTGGGTGTTCCTGTTTCAGTTGGCCTCTTAGCCTTCAGCCAGCTTGGCCGTGGCTGGGACCCACCCTTGACTGGCAAGATCCAGCTGAGCTGGGATAGGATGGCAAAGGAGGCCTGTCATCTCCTGGGGAATCCTGAGGGCTTTGTGACCTCATCATCCCTGCAGGCTAAACTGTCAGTTATGTCAGTTATCAGAGGGAAGGGGGCTCCTAAGTGGTGAGTTAGTGTTCAGAAGGACCCCTGGACTCTGGGCAGCCTTCCCTCTTTTGATAAACGACTATCAGGGAGGTAGATGGTGGTGAGGGTGAGAGTTTGGGTTGGGATGAGGATTAAGCTGAGGTTAGGGGGAAAGACAGGATGAGGATGAGAGGGAGGATGAGAGTCAGATCAGTGGGACGGTTAGGGAGGGGGGACCAGAGAGGAATGGGACGGGGGGGGCAGGGGAAAGGAAAGAAGAGAAGGTGAAGAGAGGGAGGGAGGGGAGAAGGGAAGGAGGATGGGGAGGGTGAGTCACCGTTGTGACTGCAGGCATATTTAGCGGTTTTTCCCCCATGTGAATTCTTTGATGTCGATAGAGGTGTCCACAAACAATAAAGCTCTTTCCACACTCAAGGTATTTGTATTGTTTTTCTCCCGAGTGGATTGATGCTGATAAAGACTTCCCTTCCCACAGAAACCCTTTCCACGCTCCAGGCATTTATATGGTTTCTCTCTTCAATGGAGACTTTGATGTCTATAAAGGTTTCCCCTCCGACTACAGCTACTTCCACACTCAGACATTTATATGCTTTTTCTCCTCTGAATGCTTTGATGTTTACAGAGACCTTGACTTTCAGTAAAGCTCTTTTCACACTGGAGGCATTTACAGGTAGTCCCCCAGGTACGAGAGTTCATTTAGCCAGTTTTCACAAAAACAAATTAATTCATGAAGGGTACTTACATTAGAAATTCAGAATTGCGACCAAAAAGGTCTGTCTTTCTTCTAAATCAAACAAAACAATATGGACAATATCACTGCTTGTAGCCTTTCTAGATTTTAAGCCTACATTTGATTTCATATGAGAGAAATCTTGATGAACGTGGAGAATACAGTACAAATGAGTCAAATGAGGCTGTTACAAAAAGGGACAATTTCAACCACACAATTTCAGTTTGGCATGTAACACAATCATTCCCTATTCATCTAGTAGACAAACTGGGCCTTTTAGGAGAATACAATAAAAAGGGATGTCACTTTTTCTCATTCAGCATTTGTATGAAATGTGCTAACCAACCTGGTACCTCTTCGGAAAAGACTCCCAGGGCTTTATTTAGACCTGCACCCTCTTTAAGTTGTATCTCCACTCCTTGACAGCTCATTTGATCGTCTCCTGCCTGAATCAGTGGACCCAGATTTACTTCTCCTCCAGGATATAGATAGTATCTCACGAAGTTTTGCTGGCCTTAGAAAGTCTCTTGTGTCTGCTAAAAAGCCTGGAAGACAAGGAGACCATTGAGAGCATCCATCTGGGGATGGCCTTACGTGGTGCTGACATTTGGAAAACCCATTTAGATTATATGAATGAGATGGAGGAGCTCTTTCACACCCACAACAACTGAGGCCAAATTGACCCTAGATTGATCCATGTCACACTTGCTGCAATTAGGCACCGGGTGGGATGATAGTGTAAAGGCAATTTATTAGTCTATTATAGCAAAGAGATTTCCATCAATTAAAAGAGGGAATCCAGGACACAGAATCTGGTTTCATTTTATACGCCTTATAGTAGAAAAAGAAAATAAGACTTGATTGGATGGAAGAAATCATCCTCCTCAGTTACGCCAGAGACATGAACAATAACATTCCATAATATTAAGCATAACCATTGAAATGTGCACTGCAATAAAAGGAGAACGCTGATATGGGAAAAAGTGTCACGAGTCAAATGAGGCTATTACTAAAAGGTACAATTTCAGCCACAGAGTTTCAATTAGGCATTTAACACAATCATTCCCCAGCATCTAGTAGACAAACTGGGCCTTTTAGGCTTAAACGCTCTTTGTGTAACTGGATTCTTGATTTTCTTACCAACAGGCTGCAATATGTGCAATTTGGAACAAATACCTCTAATACCATTTTCTTAAGCACAGGTTCTCCTCAGTGCTGCATCCCAAGTCCGCTGCTGTTCACCGTGTTGATCCATGACTGTTGTGCTAGGTTTGCCACCACCCATATTGTGAAGTTTGCAGATGATACAACAGTAGCGGGCCTTATTCATGATGACAATGAGGGTGCTTACTGCAAGGAGGTTGAAGGGTTGGTGAACTGGTGTAAGGTAAACAGCCTAGTTTTAAATACCGGAAAAACCATAGAAATCTGTTGGAATTTTATAGTTCAGGCTTCTATAGCAAAACTAGGCCAGTGGCCAGCTTGCGTACTAGAGGCCTAGGACAGTAAGTGAGGCAACCACATCCTCTGAGAAAATAACGGTTAACAGGAAGCTAGCATAGCAATGGGGCAAGAAGAAGCTTGCAATCTGCTTCTGCACTAACCACATCCTATAGAAAGCTACAA